TGACAGACTGTATTGCCTTCAAAACTTTCAAACTTTAAGCTTTTAAACCTACTTTAAACTTAAAACTATTTCAAACTGAAAACCATCAAACTTAAATCTTTTTTAAACTTCTTAAACTTTTTAAACTTTTCAAACTTTTTCAAACTTTCTTGTCCGGCTTTCTCAAGCCAACTTAAAGTTTGTCTTGACGAACTTTTTTATCTAGTTCTTCTTGTTATTTCCCAACCGCGGCCAACGAACCGGAAGTCTCGCGCATTCACAGAAAACTGCTTTACTTCCGCATTGAAAAATAAGGTGGAAACTATTATTTTTGTTAATATTTTGGAATTATATTTCGTTTACTTTTATTTTAGTAAAAGTTTTGGTAGTTTTGTTGTGTGTTTTTGTAAATTGTATTAGTTTTTTTTATTTTTTATTATGTCTGTATAGTTTTTGTTAACTTGTATTTATTAATTTTTTTTTAGTACTACAAGTTAAACTAATAGAAAATTATAAATGTTGCCTAGGCAACTAACTGAATGAAATAAGTTAAAGATTTTTAAAAATAGCCGACTCCGATAGCAATCACTAAGTCTAAAGTGGTTTATTTAAATGCATTTATATTGTCCGTGGAAGGCGTAGGACCATTAAATGTTCGTCCAATCATATTCCTCGGTCCGAACATTACGATAGGCTGTTATACAAGCCTGTCAACGTATGTATTTGCAAACCTCAGTGCACGTCAGACACGTCATCAGCGCGTTCATTACGCTATTGCAGATCGAGCGAGAACAGAACGCCTTATTATTGTATTATTATGCACGTTGTACTGTATTGTTTTCTCAGCGGTGAATGAGACATGAGCTAATAACATAAGTTTGGGTAGTTATATGAATTATCTATATATATATATATATATATATACACACACAGTAGAATAGAATATCAAAACCTTTAAAAATGTATTATAAAAAAAAGCACCTCTACGCTTCATTGGATCAACGGCTAACAGACGTGTACAAAAATAAAAATAAATTTAAAGAAGCGAACCAAAACCAGAACACTTGCGTTATTGCTGGAGTCGTTAAACATGTACATAAAGAAAAACCCAAGATAACCCTCTGCCGTCTGACATCAGTGAAGCTGCATCACACACAAACACACTCTACTCGTCATCCTCCTCATCTTCATCATCTTCTTCCTCCTCCTCGTCCTCATCCTCTTCATCATCGTCACCATATTCATCCTCAGCCTGGGTATATATATATATATATATATATATATATATATATATATATATATATATACAGTACATACATAATATAAAATTTTCTCCTGATTTGTTTGGTTGTCCATTAGGGTGGCCTGTGACCATCTCGAATGCCAGTGCCATTCAGATCGGGAGTTACAACACGATGAATCTGCGAGTGTCTGATAACAGCTCCTTCAGCTCGTTATCCACCGGATCCAGGAACAGAACCAGATATAATAAGCTTCTGCTGAAGTACGGTAAGACTGTCTCTGTTTCAGTGAGCTGCTGTCTAATCAAATAAGCACTCATTTGCATACATTTTCAGAACAAAAATCTGAACACTGAATTATTAGATTATTATTTTTTTGGACATATTAAAGGTCTTCACAGAGGGGATTTTGGATTTGTCTTTTTATCACTCCAGCCAGAAAAAAAAATCAAATTTTTTTTTAGGAATAAAATGTTAATTATATATGCAAATTATTTATTATTATTATTATTATTATATACAAGCCTTCAGAAAGTAGGAATAAACATGTAAGGTTTCGAGTGTGTAAGTGCTGCTGAAGTAGAGACTGTAACTACAGATGCAAATAGATAAAGTGCAATTAAAGCAACACCTAAAAGTGTATTTTGGATGTTTTCTTTACGCTAATTTGAAACAACAGTTTATGGAAAGCCAAATAGCCCAAAATCTCAAAATTGACCAATGCATGTTTTTTGCCTGTAGTGCCTCGCCTTAATAAAGCCCTCATTTTATAGTAGTCCTGACTGAACTCTCATTTCTTTATTAGTGCCAGATGTGTTTGATTTTCTCTGTTTGATTGTGTTGTGATGGTCAGAGGAGCACACGGTCACTGAGAGCCACCTGGAGGTCGTGCGTCAGAACGTGGGTGGAAACTGGAAGCAGGTGGCTCGTAAACTGGGGCTGTCAGACATAGACGTGGACACGGTCGAGCACGACTACGACCGCGACGGCTTGGCAGAGAAGGTGCACCAGACGCTGGAGCGCTGGAAGATGAAGGAGGGCCTGCTGGGCATCACCGTGGGTAAACTGTGCCGTGCGCTGGAGGGCTGCATCAAACCCAACGTCCTCCTGCAGCTGCTGCTGAAGTCTCAACACACCGCTGGAGTGCCTTGAAACGCCACCTTGTGCTTGTGTCATAATTACACTGGGTTACGGGGCATTTATACAACTCTAACAACCTTCCTCAAACGGTGAAGCGTTACAAAGACGTGCAGTATTTTTGACAGCCTAACATTCATCACTGTATCATGGTGTTGGATGCGATAGCATAATGATTGCAATTCTGTGAACGGATCATTGCACAGACGTTATGTGATCTGAGAGGACATTTCCATGATGCCGTTTACAACAAAAATGGGAAATCGTTCATTTGCACAAAAGCCTTGAAAATGCAAACTCTTAAAAATGGGATTCAAAATGGCAAGTTTTTGATAATGATATTGTTGTCTCTCTGTAAACTACAAAAACACAAATTTGTGAAAGTGGTGAGGTCATGCGCATGCGTATCACATGTTTGTGTAGCGTTTCTTCACAAAGACACATCTATTAACCTGCCATGGGTTTTTGGTCGTTTTCGCGGATTCGTGTGAGCGGGGATCGTGTTGACAACTTTTCTAAAATGTTTCCGTTTTTAGTGCATCGTTTTCATGTAAACGTACCCTGAGCTCAGAATAGATTCCTGCAAAGTGCCTTTTTCCTGTTTTTGATCAGTTGAATCAGTCTTTATATTTCACTTGTCATGATTCTAAGATGCTTTATGATTTTTTTTTCAGGACTTGAATGCACACTGACTTGAGCTTATAAATTGAGAATGATTTTTTTTTTTTTTGGAGAATGTTAAAATGCCTGTAGTTTTCTGTGAGGTGCAGGGTTGGTTTAAGGCAATAGAATATAAATCCGCTGCCAAATCCAGTGTGTGGATAATTCTGCTGTAGCGAAATGAGATGATGATAAAGATATGATAATGACATATCCAAAGAAAAACCAACATAAAGTGTATTTTATGGTGTTGGGCCACCAAAAGAGCTTCAATGCATTTTGGCATTGACTCTAATGTCTTAAAAGTAAAGGTTGTTTATTGATAACGCTGGATAGATGGCTTTATTGACATATACATGGATGTTTAACAACCTTAAACATTCATGAAATCTTTCCATTGCGCAAAAGGTTCTTTATAGTGAACGTAAGGTTCTTCAGATTGTTAAAAAGTTCTTTACACCAAGAAAATAATGGTTTTCTTAAGAACTGATCAGTGAAACGGTTTTTTGAGGAGTCCAGAATGGTTCTTCTCTGGCATCACTGTGAAAGCTTTATTTTTCAGAGTGTGCTGAAGGGATGAATGACTCTTCTTCCAAAAGAAATTTCCTCATTTGGTGTTTTGATGATGATGATGTTGTTGGAGAGTGCTGCTTTCCCTCTGGTTTCAGATCTGGTGACTGTGATCTGTGTGAATGGGACACAATCCCATGTTTCATCTATGCTTTATATCGGTTTGCAGGGACCCAAACCATGATGTTAGCAGAATGCTTGTCAATGCATAACAGCTACCCTGTGGATTGTCTATTCATTTGTCACCTGTTTGTATGTTTTTAATGCCATATCAATCCAACTTTTATTAAAATTACTGCTGTAATTAAATAATCTCTCATTTGTCTATATGTGACATAGGAAGTGGCCTTCTTCAGTTTATCTATATAGCTCGAGGTCAGTAGAGTGTATATAAACAGTGTCTAACACACTAAATCAAGACTTTATTAACAGTTACACTATGACCTTCAAGCAGCAACCACTGTGTTTGGTTTTATAATGACTATTAGAAGCCAGAATGAAAGTGTTTAAATTTTTCCGACAGAAGTCACATACAGTGTATATTGCACTTTCATAATTGTGTGTGTGTGTGAGAGAGAGAGAGAGTGTGTGTGTGTGTGTGTGAGAGAGAAAGAGAGAGTGTGTGTGTGTGTGTGTATACCATAATGTGTATGTTTTCATTAATTACATTTTTCCACATCCCAAGGATGTTGATGTGGAATTTGAATTGGAAAAACAATAAATGGGAAATGAAACTGAATTGCAGTGCATTGAGTTTAACACAGTCACAGCAGTGGTGTTTCATGAGTCAAACACAAGTCTAGGGGAACAAGGGAAGAAAATCTTTAAAGTTCATGAAATTTGCCTGTCTACAGATTTCAATCCAGAGTTTTTAAACTTGTTCTGAACAAAAAACTAGGCAAACATTGCAAATGATATTATAAATGTAATATATGCATGGCCACAAATTAAGAATTAGTTCCTGTTTTAGTAAATAGCCTCGTTTATATGGAGCCTGGGGCGTGACATTAACATTCATGTGGCCATGAATTAAGAATTATCACAAAAGACTACAACGTGGCTGTTATGCATGCTATATATTGTGTTCTGATGCAGTAGTATCCTACTTTACTAAAGTGCGAAAGGCTTTTAGTCCTCAGTAACTATCCCCAAATCCTTCTCTCTTGTCCTTGTGTAGGCTACTAATAAATAAATAAATAAATATGAATACATATCAACAAATATGAATAAACATTTTATTTATTTTTACAACATACATATATCAAGATATCTTCTTTTGTGTTCAGCATAAGAAATAAACTCGTGCAGGTTTGGAACAACATGAGGGTGAGTTAGTAACATCTGTCAGAATTGATATGTTTAATGAGACATGCTAACCTTAATTAATTTATAACTTTAATCAGGTATAGGCTAATCAAGAGCTAGTAGGTCACACTAAAGTTATGTTAACACATTGTTTACATCTCGGCTGTACTCCTGAAACAACGAGTATTTTAATGTTAACAGATCAGCTCATGTTCGCTTCAGTTGCTTAACTGTAAAGATGCAAGTTTTTGTGGGCAGGTTTGTTAATGTCTGTGATGATAATTATGCCACAAATGCTGTTGATTGGACTCACCATGTTCTGAAACCAGAATATTCCTTTAAACTGCATTAAAACCCACCTGCTGTTCACATATCCAGCATTATTCTCATGGCTTTGTTCACACATCGTGTTTGAAATTAAGGAAGTTAATATTTCAATAATTGAACAACACATTTGCATGTTTATAGTTCTCCGATTCTGATTAATAGTCACATTGACGTGCAGGTAAACAAATTCAGTATTTATATTGTTATTGTTTAAGTGTTTAAATAATTAACTTCATTTGACATTTTTATGATTTAATGAATGATTAGCTTTTTAACAACTCTCAAGCCCACTAACATTAAGCCCAGTTTGGGAAACCCTGGTGTAAAGTCATGTTTGACGCATTTCATGATGTTGATATGAAAAAGTGGAATATATTTTCTTGCCCTTTGCTTTTTTATATCAATATGATACATTTAATGGTAAGTTTAAAACAAGTTGGATAAAAAAAAAGTATTCCAAAAAGTAGTCAGAAAAATTACGTTGGTTTTCTTCATCTGTAATCATAATGGACTACAGTTTGTAAGTAATCTACCAGCACTGCTCTTTTGAGACAAAGAGCCATCGCTCATAATGTTTGACTATTAATAATATCTATCAAAACTGATGTGCTCAATTAATCAAGCATACACTTAACACTTTAATCGCTGTGATTAAGAGCATGTAAACAGAAATATAAAAACAATGTGACCACATTGGCTATTGTAACTGGTAGAGATGTAACGATTCGCTCAACTCACGATTCAATTCACAATTATTATTATTTTTTAACAAGATGAGATTTAAGACAAATTATAAATTAAATGTGTCCTTTTATTATTGCTTGGACAAAATGCTGCACGTTGCTTTGTGAAATGTAAATATAATACTATAATAATATACTAATATAGCACTTGCATATCGTTGCTCTTTTGTTGGTTTTGATGGCTTCTATTGTCCTCATTTGTTAGTCGCTTTGGATAAAAGCGTT